AATTGAAGTTCACAAAGAGGAAGGCAAGCACGACCACTTGGAACCGAGCCATGATAGAGCTTTTTAACAAAGAACGAGAGGGGGCTGAGAATGTCAAGCTTGAGAAACGGTCAGAGAAGAAGCAATGTGATCGAATGAAATGCTCAAAGCATTGAAAAATGCTTTCCGCCAAAGCAAGGGATAAGCAAATCTACGTTGTGTCACTTGCTTTCTATACGATGTACGGTAGTTATCCAAACCTTCTTGACAGCGACTATGTTGGCTTGGATGTAATCTATGCTCCAAACCCAAAAGCATGTACAGAACTCCCTTTTGCACTCCACAAATGCATCTTCCGCAGTCCCAAAGGAACCTGCACATCAGAGCCAGTCACAGAACGGACGGCCCCATCCGTGCTTTGGGGCGGATGGGCCACGACAGAGGCAACCGCCGTGCCCGGCCGCAGCGCGGATGGGTCAGTGCTTCAGTCGTCAAGATTGAAAGGCATCAATGACCCCAACCCAGCTCAAGCTGTCGTCTCCAAGGACGTCATAGAAGACATCCCTGTCGTCCGGGTTGCTGCCTGCAGCGCACCGGGAACGAACGTCGCAACGCCATGCCCTTTATTGGAAAAACTGCAAGTAGAAACCACCAACTTTGACTAAAAGGGGGTTTGTGATGTTTTGTGCCACAAGACATACCTGCCCCCCCCCAAACAAAACAAACTTAAAGAAACCTGGAGTTGGCTTTAAAAAAGTCTCTATAAGATCTATAAGAATTGCTCGTCATCCTCGTATCTCGTCGTTTTCACAAACTCGCTCCCCATCCTCCCCCTCCCCATCTGCGCGTCACAGCTCGCTTTCCGCCAAGCCGCCAAAGCCAGCAGCATAGCGCAGCACCATGACCGGGCACGTTAAAGGCCAAATCACTGCGCGCACAGAAAACCGTCGGTCGATCAGAGGGTGGGCCCCTCCTTTAAAAACAGAAGGGCCACCCACTCATGGGGAAGTAGCCCTCAAAAAGAACGCTGAGGTCAACGGTTTCAATCCCAAGAAAAGATCCAACAACAGTTCATGGTAAGGACCTTTTAAAGCAAAAATAATCCAAAATCACGGCACCGGAATTGAAATGTTGAATGTGCCCAACGAACTAAACAGGCTAAACAGGATCTGATTGAAAGCGAACAATCAAAAACAATACGGTTATCTTAAATGCCGACTGGAGGTTGCGTTAGTGCTGGATGTTCAATCCTAACATGTGAGTTATATGACTTGTTGATAAGACTCGACTCGTTGACTCAGATTCGACTCAGCTTGCTTGGGTGGTTCTTAAATGCCAGAAGTAAAAGCGGCTCCGCGTGAGTAACCAAAGCAACAACGGTTGTGCAGAGGGACTTTCTGAGTTTTCCCACAGTTTCAAGACTCTGAGTTGTCCCTAGGTCACAGTTCCGGTCTGGGTCCCTGTTTGGGTAGCAGCAGGACGCAATTTTTCTCGACCTGACCTGTGCCATCTTCAAACGGTCCAAACTCTTGCACCGCAGGCTGGGCACCCGCACATTGTTGGGACAAGGTGAGCTCCTTGTGGACACCAATGCCACTATCATCTGTAAGCATCCCGAAACTCAAGAGGCAAACGACCAAAGAGAAGGCTCCGCCCGTGGCCAGGTAAAGGACGCGAGCAAGGATCGAGGTCAAAAGAGATATCCTGGGCCCATTACAGTACCCCCCAGTGGGGATCCAAGAATGAGATGGCAATGGGCCCTCAAAACGGCCTTTGCCCCACGGATCTTTGCCAACCAAAACAGTTCAGATCACGACAGAGCAAACAGTTGGACCAGCAAATTTGCCCCAAAACATCAAAGAATGAAATTGGTTCGCTTCCCGCACAAAGCCCGAGGCGCATCCCGTTGAAGAAACCTTGCAGCTGCAGTTCATTGGCTTGGCTCAGCTCCATGAGAGAACCCGGCAATGTCTCATTTGCCTGGTTCGAGGTGCGGGTCGGAACTGACAAGCCCTCCAACAAGCAGAAAATGCTCACCACCAGTGGTAGGTCAACACTCCGTGGATTTCAGATTTACATATGTCGACAGCCCCTTACCCCAGACTGCTGGCCTGCAGCGCCAACAACGACGCAGCCTTGTCAGCATTTTGAAGGGTCTTCTCAACTGCCTCGACAGGATCACAGGCTGTCAACCACACTTAGGAAGGCTTCAATCGCAGCAAGCGGTCCTCTGATCCGAGAAATGTGTTAGGCTTTATCAAAGGTGCCCTCTTCCTCCTCCTCCGCCCTCTCCTCTCCTGAGCCGGACCTCCGGACTTCAACCGGAAGTGCTGGATCGCAGCGGGCACCGCCGGGCCTCAACCGCCAGTGCTGACACCCAGCGTGCACCGCCGGACCTCAACCGGGAGCGTTGGATTGCAGCACCGCCGGACCTCAACCACCAGCGCTGGATCACAGTGGGCACTGCCGGACCTCAACCGCAAGCGCTGGATCGCAGTGGGCACCGCCGGGCCCCACTCAGCGGCCAGGCCCGGCCAGTGCTGGATCGCAGCCGGACCTCAACCGCCAGTGCTTGATCGCAGTGGGTAGTGCCAGACCTCAACCGCCAGTGCTCGATCGCAGTGGGTACCGCCAACAAGGACATCAGAACACAGTCGAGAACATGTCCCAACCCTTATGATAGATGATGTGTCAGAGCACAAACCAGACTTGATGCCAAAACAAGCGTCAGAACATTGTGACAATCCGCATGTCCGCCTTTGTCAGCCTGGTCTGTTAATTTAATACATGTGCCCTGCCTTCTTCCACAGCGCCTTTCAGGGTGGGGATCACTCGAAGTAAAGCAATTTGAGAATCGTTTGACACTTAGTGCGCAACGGTCCAGACTCTTCACACACGCACATACAAGACAATGCGCACGGAAATTGAATGCCACTCGCCACACAGCAACCTGGGTAACCATACTCCTGAGAAAGTAGTAAGGGGGTCTGATCATCTCCAGACTCTAGTCGTTAGGAGGCCAAAGGTCCCATCCATGAAATAACGAATGGTCGACAGGGCGAAACGACGGCGACCGCTCACATCTGCAGAAGGCATTAGCCGGTTATGGAAGATTGGAGTACAAGCTTGGACAGCAGTTCAACAAAGCAGGCACGCATAGCTTTGTTGGCATGCCTTTGCGTGATGTCCGCATGCTCCCTGCTTGCAAAAGGAAAACACACGCGACGGAATCCCTATGACTCTAAAGGTTACACTTAGATTGTTGCTCGCAAGAGCTAGTATCAGTACAAAGTTCCCCTTGACTTGATGAACGGAATGAAGCAAAAAACCGAAAGGTGGCTGAGTCGGCGAACGTGTAGATGTTTAACAAAGTTTCAACTCCTATGCATTAGCCGCTTTACTGAATACCTAGCAGACCGCCTATGCATTAGCCGCTTTACTGAATACCTAGCAGACCGCCTATGCATTAGCCGCTTTACTGAATACCTAGCAGACCGCCTATGCAGTAGCCGTTTTACTGAATACCTAGCAGACCGCCTATGCACTAGCCGCTTTAAACAGTTCTAAACAGTTTTGCAGGTACGTTTTCACACCTACCACTGCCGGTCTTCGTTGGCCACAGCAGCAGTGGTAGGTCTGTGGCCCCCTGCCTCTTTTTTTCCGCGCTGAGAAACTATATGGTAGTAGCGATACCAGGAGCCCTTAGTAGCAAAACCAGGGGCCCTATGCACAGGTGTGGACTAAGGCGCAAACAAATGCACATGCGCGCGTGCAAAGAAGACAAAGGAATGAAGACATGAGAGGGAGACGGGACAACCAGTGTGTGTGGTTGCGACGAAGGGGAAACCAAGGGCACAGGGAGAACCAGTGAGCCAGACCTCATTGTGAAAACCTGGGCGACCTGAAACCTGGATTGAGGGTAAGTTGCGCGCGTACCCGGGCCGTTGCGCGCGCAAAAGAACGAACGAGATGAGATGACGGAACATGAAGGCAGAAAGACATGAAAAGAAAAAGGGGAAGGAAGAAGTGTGTGAAGGGCAAGGAATGGCAACAAAACTAGGCCTCATTAGAAAAACCTACGTAGACCTGGCCTAATTTAAAATGAACACGCTGTGCGTGCACCTAAGGTTGCGGCAGGTCCCAACGGACCTTAAAAAGCTTTGACTGCTCTGGTCACCTTCCGCCATGCCAAAATGGCGGGCAGCTTTGACCGCTATGGTCACCTCATGGCTTGCCCGAAGGCTGCCTACTCAAATGCAATAATTCAAGTCTTGGCAAATGACTTTTGCTTAAACCTCCTGCTGTCCGCTCCGGACATGTACGTTCCCAAGCCGGGGGAACATGGACAAACCCACGTTCGACCGTTCGACGTGGCCACAGGGGAGACTGCTCGGGTACACCCTGGGCTGGCATGAAGTCAGTGGCCCACGCTAGGCCCTTCACTATGGCATTCTGAGGGTGAATCACCCAACATTTGCTGCAGGTGTGAAAGACTGCTCCATGGCCTTGGTGAAGGAGATTGGCCGCATGTTCCTCCCGGATGATGCGTGCTCGTTCAATAAAGTTGTGAGGGTAAGAGAGAGAGTGTGTGTGTGTGTGGCCTTAAAGCCTTGAAGAAGCCCGGGTTGTGTGAAAAGTGTAGGGCCAGGGCGCTAGGCAGAAAACGGCCTTGCTGCAAAATCTGGATCACGTTGCCAAGGAGACCGGCGTGTCCTCCGAGCACGTGGGTGATCGCTGGTTGTGCGTTGGTCTCGCGTTGTGGGGTTGGTGGGAACTTCTGGTGAGCCTTGTTGGCCAGTGTGTGGGTGTTGATGGTGTTGTATCGGTGGAGATCCCACTGTGAGTTTGGTCGTTCGACTTGATGCGCTGGAAATCAGAAGCATCGTTGTGGGTCAGGCCGCTGTCCACGAGAAGTTTGGCAATGAAAGGGTTCTGAGGGATGTTGGGGGCGCGAACTTGCTGCATGTGGAAATTGAGCCAGTTCTCAAGTTGTTCTTGTGGTGGTTTGGCAGAGAACTGGGTTGGGGCTCGCCAAGGATTGCGAGGCCTTCGCATCGCTGGATAAATCAGGGCATTGGGTGCCTGAGGTCTGATAGTCAGTTCAGGGTTGGGGAGCAGAGCGATCTGGTTGCGATGGATTATGCTGGAGTGCGGCTGCAGGATCGGGGGGATGGAGAGTTGGAGGCGCAGGATGTCGTTGAGTAGTCTTCAGTGGGTGCTCGTGTATGGGTTAACGAAGCTCTGCGGCGTCGTCGTCGATGGCTGGATTGGTGGCGGGTATGCCTGCGATGGCGCCGTCGATGACGCCTGGAATGGTGTCGTCGGCGACGTCGTCCACGGGAGAGGGATATGGGCTGAGGCTTCACATCAGGGCCAGTGGCTGCGCTGCCGGCGCAGCGGATTGCTCAGCTTTTTGGCCGGCTGCTGCGGCGCTGGCCTGTGCAGTGGTGGCATCAGGTGGAGGTGGGGCTACGGCAGGATGTGTGGGCTGATTTGGGGATTGCGGGGTGGGAGCTGGTTGGGGGCCAGGTGGCTGCGGTGGAGCTGGCCCGACCGCCAGTGGTTGGAGGAGAGGATTGGACTGGCGGAAAAGCTGAAAACGGTTTGAGTTTGCCAAACTCCTTGCTGTGAGGAGCAGCTGATGTAGGTTGGGCCGGGGATGTTGGAGGGAAGAAAATTGATGGTGGGCGGTGCCTGTTGTGTGGGCACGGTCTGAGCAGCCGGCAGGTGTTCCGATGAAGGTGCTGTAGGCATACAGTATGATACTGGAAAGGTACTAAGTGATGGCGGTTATGATATGTGGTCCACGATGGCTTCAGCGCCTCTCTTGCGAGAGGATCACACTGTGTACCCAGTGGGAATACACAGCGATACACACTTAGTCACAGGGCTTGCAGTGATCCTAATCCACAGTGAAATGGATGTGGGAACGGAAAGGCACAGAATCACCTCAACTGAAATGTTCAACAATGTTGCACGTGACTGCGGAAGGCTGCGGTGATTCAGCTGCAGAAAGCGGCGGGGGTGGTTTCGGGGTATATCATGGAAAAACCATGGAACAAAAACACAGCGAGGAAAAATTGGGGTAGTGACACGGCGCAGGTACAGTGGAGTGGCCAACTCCACCATCCCATCTCGCTGCCTAGCTTTGTTAGACCAGGTCAGCAGCAAGATGCCTGGTACCCCTGCATATTTTCTTTGCAAACTCCTGGAGACGGAGGGTGACACACACTCTCATGGATATGCGTACTGACGGACAGCGGTGCCACACGCCGGCTTAGGGTACCATTTCCTAAGAGTACACGTAGGAAACCACTGGAACCTCGGGGTCCTCAAACGGAGAAAGGGCCAAACTCCCAAGTCGAGGTCGAAACGACAGGGTGACGACGGCCGTTCGTGTCTGCAGAGTGCATGAGACCTTCACAAAATCTTAAAATTCAAGCAGGTACACAGAGCTGATCAGGCTCTGCTGACTACAAGGGGCACACACACACACACACACGCCTCCTCGAGGGGAGGCGTAAAGCTAAGGCAAGGGCAAATGTGCACGAGAGCGCGCAGAAGAGACAAAAGAATGAAGACATGACAGGAGGACGAAACGTGACAAAAATGCATGTGGTTGAAATGAAAGGGGAACCAAGTGCACAGGGACACCCGATGAAGCCCACCTCATTGTAAAAACCTGGGCGGCCTGAAACCTGTGTTAAAATGTATGCAGAAGTGCACGTACACACTAAGGCCGGGACCAATGTGCGCGCAAACGAAGAAAAGGATGAGATGATCAGACATGAAAACAGGAGGACATGAAAGAAAAGAGGAAGCAAAAGTGTGTAAAGGGGAAGGGATGAAAGGGGAACCAAATGGAGGGGACGAGAACCGATGAAGCCAAACCTCATTAGAAGCACCTAGGGACCTGCCTCGTTTGAATGTAAGCGCTGTGTGTGCACCTGAGAGTGGGACAGGTTCCAATGAACCTTAAACTTGCTTTGACCGCTATGGTCACCTTGTGCCTTGCCAAAATGGCTGGCTGCTTTGACCGCTGCGGTCACGTAAAGGCATGAGCCAGCTTGGAATTCCAAAGATGAGACAAAAAAATCTGAGTTCTTTCGGCCTAGGCCACCTGCTGTCCGCTCCGGACACCTACGTTCCCAAAGCCGGGGAACATGGACAGACACCCGTTCGACGGATCCACGGGAGGCACTCTACGGGCTCATCCCGGACTCTCACGGGAGAGAGACACACATATGGATATGCGTACTGACGGACAGCGGTGCCACACGCCGGCCTAGGGTACCATTTCCTAAGAGTACAAGTAGGAAACCACTGGAACCTCGGGGTCCTCAAACGGAGAAAGGGCCAAACTCCCAAGTCGAGGTCGAAACGACAGGGTGACGACGGCCGTTCGTGTCTGCAGAGTGCATGAGACCTTCACAAAATCTTAAAATTCAAGCAGGTACACAGAGCTGATCAGGCTCTGCTTCCAGCACAAGTGGATAGCTTCGTTGGGTGCAGTCTCCACTGTGCTCTGCACCCCCCTGCTAAAAACAAAACGCATTACAATTCAAAAGAATCCCTGTGACTACAAGGGGCACACACACACACCCAGGACACACCAGGGTCAGGATAGCCGACAGGTCAAAGCGACGGATCGCCTCTTCTTCTTGAGTAAGAAGCTCATCAGAGAGCTTCTCAACTCCTTCAGTTTGGATCTTCTTCGCAACGCTGTCAGCCTGCTCTGCCGTCATAATGCCCTTGGAGGCCTCTGTGCGCAGTCTTGTGCTCATGCGCCACAAGTCTGACAAGTCAAGTTTTCGTGGGGTCTAGGAAAAGTACGTCGATGAAAATCATGGCACAAGCTAAAGATGTATTCAACTACAGAAGCACCGGGGAAGCTGAAGCAATGAAGGTAGACCCTCTCCCCGACTGAAGTCAAGTGATTCAGCCACCTTGATAGCCCGGGATGTGGTCCCTGATGGGTTTGGTACTTGGGGACGCCATGTCCGACTGAAGCTCTGGGGACACGTCTGTTCTTTTGTTGCCTGCTGCACAAGGACCTGTGGCGCTAAGAGTCTGTTGCACGAAGACCTAGTCCTTGTAACAACTGGAACCGATCGCGCAGAGCTCTGAAAGTCTTTGGTAGTGGAAATACTGTATGTGGAAATATATTTTTGTTGCGAAATCCATCATGCCAATGCCGGAACTGCACCCACACCCTCACCCATCAGCCCCCAACCCGACCTGACCAGCTAACTTCGCGGCCACATGAAGCGTTGTTGAATGATCATCTTCGATGCTTGGTCTCACCTCCCACCTAGCTCCCGACAGCTCTTCCAGAAACCTCTTCCAAGCCGTCTGGAAGCATGTCGCAGCTCGCCTTCTCCACCACCTTCTTCAGGTCCTCCTCACTCAGCGATTTCGCCAGCTTCACGTCCCCTTCGTTGGGCTCCTCGCAGATCCGTGCGAAGGTCTTGCGCTGCAGGACCTCCTTGGTCGCCTCGGACGCTGCTACAGCCAAGCCCAAGAGCTACAGCCAAGCCGTCTGAAAAAGAAGGTCTGAAGGTCGTTCGGTAGCGATTTCGCTGTCAAATGACCCACCCCCACTTGGCCTTCTCCTGCTTCTTCGCTTTAGACGCGCCCACCTTGGGTGAAATGAAGGACAGATGGAAGGAAAACTGCTAATGACATGTTCTAGGGTCCTTGACATGCACCAACGATCCGGTACCAAAAAAGACACACACTAAAAAAGAAAAGAATATGTGGCATCAAAAAAGTAATCTACTTCTGCCTGCAAGTGGCCTCCTTCTCTTCCAGCAGGGTGGCGTCTATTCCGCCCAACTGATGCAGGAAGCCGATATATTGAGCGACACTGTCACCAAGGCCACTAGCCAGGCTGTCCGGCAAGACCTCAAACAGAGTGGAAAGAAATGTAGGGGTTAGTTAAACCACTACTTCAAGCACTCAAATCTAGTGACAGGGTTGACATTTGAAATCTAGTGGCTTAAAGGTTCACAGCAACACCAAAGCTTTGAAGAAGCACACTCTTGATCCTCCCACCTCCTTGCATTCCTTGATCTTCCCCTCCTTGGCCAGTTCTTTTGCCTTGGAGATGGCACGACCAATGAAGCCCATCACGGAGGAGGCTTCGGCCATTTGGTTGATGCAACTCCTGAGATGATGTCTTTCAATCTGGCGAACCGAGATTATGGTGGGCCAAACATGAATGAACACGACCAAATATCTTCAACCGATCATAGTTGCTTGACCCTAGGGTCGGATTGACCCACACCCATCCGAAAAGAATTAAGGTGAGACTTCAAGTGACTTGAAGGGTCGAGGCCCGTTTGGGCATGGACCGTCAACTTGAGAAACTTCCAGCTGCACAGAGGACGCTTGGTGAACAGCCAAGCTCAGATGAAAAATCCGTATTGGAAACATTCAATTAATTGAAGTTTCAGCCCAGAGTCTTTAGATCAAGTCCCCGGTGATGGAATCACATGGAATCACAATTGTTTCCTGCCATAAATGAACACCAGACGATGAGTAGTTCATAAGGCGTTGAAAGATCTTGGGAAATATCTTGAGCCTAAACCCGACTTCTTCGTCAAGACACTGTCATCTTCCCACCACAACTTCCCAGTTTCCTCTTGGCGAGTCCTTTTTAAGCATGATTTCGTCCGCCGTCAGCTATAAAGCTCGATCGGATTTCCCGGACAAATCGCTCCCTACAAAGATGCGCGACGATTATCGGAAAAGTCCCCAAAAAGATCCAAGAAATGTATCTAACACACACTGACCTCACATGAAATGACAAGTCAGGGGTATCATGGGGCATGGTTTCGTCCCACAAACTTTGACTAAGACATACTGGAATTGCTATAATATATATATATATATACATATATATATAATACAAGTTTGTGACCACGAAACCGACCGTTTCAACAATCTAGATTCAGGTCTTTGGCCAGCTTACACCAACAAGTTTGTGCCCACCCCAACTCTGCCAGTCCAGCAGGACTGCACTAGACCCAGCAGAGAGGACGCACCGGCCCTAAGGGCAACCGGCTTGCAAACTGCAAGAAAAGGACACAAGCCCAGGAACAACAAACAAAAACACACTTCCTGTTCCAGCCCCACTGCCCGCTTCCCCTGCCCTCCCGGCCCAGCGTCAACGATGCGATGCTGCCGCTGCACTCAGCCACCAGCGTGGGCACGTTCGTGGCCAAGACGGCAGCAGAGGAGGCCATGAAGCCACTGGAAACCCCGGGCTTCAACATCTCCTCGTCTTTGTAGCGGCAATATCCTCACAATATCCAGATGCCATGTTTTCCAAAGCGTGCGGGGTCAATTGGTGACATCTGAATATGGGTCGGGTTCGACATGCATTGATCTGTAGATCAGGTGGGTTCTGTGGAACGTAGCTTTAAGGAGAGACCCAGGCTGCCTGGGGGGGTAGTCATCCTTCTTGGATCACCTGGGTTCCCCGTCAACCTAGCAATGAGGGGCCCTTACAATCACTGCTGGTCCCGGTTTTTGGCAGCGAAGGTAACCGGTGATGTTCCATCGCGTTGTCTCGCAGAAGGATGCTTGGAAAATTGGACCCTCTTTTGGCTGGGCCTCCTGGGCATCTCAACCCAGCGAAGGCCACACAGGCTCAAAAATCAAAGGGATCGACCTCTGCCACTGTGCGGATAAATGTTTTTTACTGCTTAAATGGGATTGCCCGTGACCTCGCTACCATCCCACCGCCAAGGCTCTTGGGCAGGAGCCAGAGGTCTTGCGCTTCACCCAGGTGTACATGCGAAGGAGCCGGGATTGGCTCACCTCCTCTTTCCATGGCCTGCAGTTACTGGGGCATGACTTGTCTTCAAGTCGACGGCAAGCATCCCAGAAGCTGCAGCCAATGATCTTGGGGCAGAGCCTGGATTGAAGCTTTGGACCATAGATCTCTTGGTCCTCGGCATCCACATCACAGTCCAGGTCCAAGAGTGAGTCAGACTCTGGGACAGAAGAAGCCACATCCATGGAGTTGCCGGAACCAAACACGGTGCGTTTGGCTCCGGTCAAATTGAAGTTCACAAAGAGGAAGGCAAGCACGACCACTTGGAACCGAGCCATGATCGAGCTTTTTCGACAAAGAACGAAAGGGTGCTGAGAATGTCAAGCTTCAGAAAGCTTTCAAAGCAGCTTGATCCGGACCACAAAGGCCAATGAGTGAGGCCTGTATTTTTTCGTTTGGAAGCCTGTCAAAAGCAAACTCGGCCAATCGTCGGCCGACAGGGGTGTATTCACATGTCAAAGCCTTCATTGCCCTTCCCCCAGTTCAAGGGACAAGCAAATCTATGTTGTGCCTCTTACTTTCTATGCGATGCACACTAGCTGTCCATTCTGGACAGCAACTATGTTTGCCACTCAACCTTACTCAACTAGATCGAAGGGCATACGCTGTTCTGCATGTCATGCTTCCTTCAAAACCCCACGAAACAAAACGAAAGCACACTATATAAAAGCATGCTAAAAGCACCCCCCAATTGCAACGCCTCTCTCTCCCTGCACTCCCCGCACTCTGACTTCACTCACCTCTGGGTGCTCCTCACGTTAATGTACCACTCGTCCCCCTGGTCCACGGGAACCTCTGGGCTCACCTGGTGCCGCTGGACCCGCGAAAAGCCGGCTGAGCCCACAGGTTCGAAACAAGACTGCACCGGTTTTGGAGCTTGGAGTGGAGGTTTTTAGAAGCCTGGAGACGCTTACAAGTACGACCCAAAAAAGATCTTTTCAAGAGCTTTCTCACCAACGTCCCTCACCAATCCCACGTCCCTCCACGTTCACCACATCTCAACCATGGCATCTTCACCAACCTCAGCCCCTCGCGACCCTGCCGCTCGTTTCACCGACCACGACCCGCGACATGAATGAACCCGCGACCGCGCAGGTTCACCCCACTTTTTCTACCACCAGGCACCACCAGGCAGCACACCCTTCGGCACCTGCACTTGGTTCTTCCCGCTGGAGTTTTGCGCCACGTAGATGGCAAAGTACCGGGCGACCTGTGCGGTGTCCGCTCCGTGGCTCTGTGTGGATCGTCTCGGGGGGCCAGCGGCACTCGGCCATGGGTTCGAATCGCTGAAGCGAAGCGTTCCCCCAAAAACCAGGTCGGACCAACAAAGAATTGGGGCACCAAGAATCCACCCAGTCACATTCCTTGATTCCACACCGCCGTGATCCATCCGTTTCGCCGTTTCGCCGTTTCGTTCACACGTCAACCAAGGCTCCAAGGGCTCGGCAGTTTTTTCCTCGGCCTCCCCGCGGTCACTGACCCTGGCACCCAGCGCACCATCCCAGCAATCTCCCCATAGAATTGGTTCTGGCGCGCCGGCGCCACCGGGCGGGCGAAAAGGTCGAGGTGGCGAAGATCACGTCGTCAACAGCGTTTCTCCGGTCACCGGCTGAGAACACATGTGCACTACAAAACCCTGATGCTTCTCTAAAAGCAACCGTCCTTCACCATGGGCAGTCTAAAAAAGGCCGTAGCATGCCTTGCTGTCAACAAAGGTACTGCCTGGACACTTCATTGGTTGAGGCACACGGCCCGACAACCCCCATGACACCAGCGCCGGCCACGGTTTGATTCAAGTCTCAGCTTTGGATAGTCCCTCCTGTTGAGCAAGTCTCCAAAGACTTTACATGCTTGAGCACCTGTCAAAATGGAAAGATAGAATGGAAAACACCCCCCCCTTATATAACCTCTACAGGCCTATTAATAGACACCCTTTGACGGGGCTCTGGTGGTTCAGGCTTCTGGCCTTTGTAACTAAAAGAAACTGCACCAACCGCGCAGTTTCTGCGGAAACGAATCTACATCTCAAAGAAACTCCGATCTTCTTCCGTGCCCCTCCAGAATAAGTATGTGTAATATATTGTATATGAACAACATAGAAATGATTATACATTATATAAGCAATATTCAATATTGATCATTCCAATCTATCCAACCATGGCCCTTCCGAGTCCCACATCTCGCCACCCACATCTCTCCACCCGCGGAGCCCGCCTCGTCGGTGAAGCTCATCGAGCGCACCTTTGAAGAGGCTCCCGGCGCCGCGTTGCTCAGATCCTCAGCGCAGAGGCTCGGCGACAACGAAACTGTGGTGGGGGGACTTGTTGGGCGGTGAAAAAGGCGACAACACACGGCCACATGGGTTTATCCAGCTTCGTTTCTTTGAGATTGTTACCGGTTCGATATGATATCATCTATCCTCAAGATGGAGAAAGGAGGAACAAAAACAAGACAATCCATGATATGTTCACCGAGTGGCTGTGGCTGGAGCTTTATTCTAGTGCTGATAATGGTTATTTTGCTGCACCAAACACAGTTGTATGGTGTGGGTGTGGCAAAACAAACTGACGATTCCGGGGTTTGGACCAGAAATCACCAAACCAAAAATCACGAAACCCAAGGACGGACCAACCCGACCGCAATCTCCGCTGCAAAGAGAGCCGGACGTTGCTGCCTCCCTCGCGACCGGGAATGACTTGCCTGGATCCGCAAGAATCTCGGAAACAGCTGCTCACCGTACCTCGCTGTAGAGTGCATCCCTCGCGCGTGCTGCATCCCTTCACATGCGCGGGGAACGACAGAGGATGGGCGGGGCGAAGTGGAGGAGAAATCCCATCGAAAGGGAGAAAAGCGCTGTCGGTGTTGGGCGGTCTGAATGAAGAAAGAAAAGAAACGGCAAAGGAAGAAGGAGCTGAAAGAGAAGAAAAAGGGCAATGAGCTCATACCACGGCAAGTGGTGCCTCCTGAAGTTGGCACGGAATCAGAACAGATGATTTCTTCCACCAAACTTCATTCTTGACCATAGAAAAACAACCCCAAAAAGAAGAACACACTTGATGGAAATGGAGGTCTTTCATCACCCCATGTTTCCAGACCCGCCGGGGCGAAGCCCCGGCCACGCCCGGGGCGAAGCGGCTGGCCGCTCGGAACCCGGCGCGGCCGGTCGACCGGACTCCGAGAGTCCCAGGTCAGGTGCAGGTCAGGTCGCAGGTCTTTCAGTGTTTCATGTCCCCGGTCGCTGTGTCAGGTCGCTGTGTTTGTTGATGAAAGTCTTGTACATGTCTGTAAAGGCCACTGTCTGTAGATGTCATGTTCCCCTGTTGGGCAGGCAGTGAATGCATCAAAAACACAGCCTGTGGTGGATCCAATCAGCATGTGATGTGATCCGGGAGCGATGTGATCGGCAAGCCCCAGGGTCTGTTCTATCCAGAAGGTCTAACCAATATCAATGTTTGTCAAGAAGGCTGGAAGAAAAAGGTTGGATCGTTCCTTAGTATATGCAACCACTGCTTCAAATATATCCCTTTTGTTTACTTCTTGGATGTTCTCGAAGTTAGAAGGTCTATATTGTCAAAGAAGACACTAGACAAGACATCTGAACAAGTCTTGGACATTGGGGCGTGACTTGTTCCATGCTGAAATGAAACAAACCTCAAGAAAAGAAGCACCAACTCCTGAAAAACGACTCGCCGGACTTGCAATCACCAAGTGTTGAGTGCATGTCACTCGAAACTTTCGAAACTTTTAGAGTGCAACCACGCCCTGAGCTCACGAGTTGTTCAAGTACGCCAGCAAATGGTCACGGCTGTCCAATCGCGTCCCTGTCAACCGATGAAGCTTTTACGAGCAGTCGAGCAAAGGACTGGCAGTTCTACTCGCAGCTCGTGTAGATCGAGAAAGGTTCTCAAAAAGGATCTTGGGTAGACGGTAGACAGGACCAAAAATAACTGATGCTTTTCTGATGGATGTCGTTTTGTTTGCGTTTCTGGCTATGCAACTACTTCAGTGTTCGGTCAAGCAGCATATTTTAGAATGTTATCGCGGCCTTCCATTCATGGCTGCTTTCGTTCTAGAAAAACAAACACCCAACATAATATGTTCACCACCAACACTCCGAACGAAAAAGGGGTGGTCTTGGGAAAACTGCACTTGAGATTGTTGGGAGGTACGGTTGGATTCGGGTCTCAGTTCTAAACCCGTCTAAACCCCCTAAGTTGGACAGTTCACTTCCGTCGGCGCCGTCTAAACCCCCTTCGTCCCGTTTCTTCGCCGGACACCGGCGTCGTCCACGCGTTCGCGTGGCGCCTGTGAGGACCTGCAGCTGCGTTTGGAAGGGCTCGAGTTGCCCAAGGTACAAGCGGCCATAGCCTGGGTGAAGGACGCGTCGGTCGAGCGCGACGACGCGACGGTCGTGTTGGGATAGAACGAGGGAGACCCAAATCCCCCAAGCGACAGACTCACAGAGACAGATACAAACTAGATACATTAGGGATTTTGAGCCGACAAAAGAGCTTTGAAGCAATAGGTCCAATAGGTGTATCCGCCAAATCTTCAGATCGTAGAGGATGGCTCAGGAACAATATCTGGATTCTGTTTCAAGAATTGCTAGCAAGGTTTGAGACCAAGCCAACAACGCCAGACGACCTATTCTTCCTAATCCGCACAGTCGCCCAAAAAGTTCTGACGCCACCAGATCCGCAAGACGACCTATTCTTCCTTCCACAGGGAAAACCTTGGATATCGACATGGTCGGTCGCCGGAAAACCATCCACCGGCGGCCACCAGAGCCCCCACCAGGCCCTACCGCTTCGCCCCGACTGGAGACCGTTCCGACCTAAGCACCGATCGAAAGTCGTCCAGACTTAAGAGACCTCGAAAGTCCTTCTTGTTTAAACCTGATCCAAGACCCAGAAGACCCAAAAGACCCATAAGGATCTGACCCCGAACTGGCCCGAACTGGCCCGAATCGTTTGAGTCACGCTCAGCCGGACGAAGAACTGGCCCTTCCCAGCCCAACCGCCCAACCCCCGGCTGCGGCCCAGGATCCAGTCGAATTCAAGGCCAAGAAGAAGTCTCAGAGTGGGAAGAGATGGAGAATGCAAGTGGGAAGACCGGGGAGAGAGGAAGGGGTGTTGGAGTCCAATGGTTGGGGTGATTCGTTGATGTCTTGCCTTTTGATCATAGGGAGATTGAGTCAACTAGAGATACGCAGAGCATCTAAAAAGTCTCCCACTGTCAATTCCTAGGTGTGTTCAACAGCACATCTATAGAGGGCCGGGTAGTTCTTTGTATGAACCCTTTCCTCGAACTCACGGACGGCACAAACATATATAGGAAGTCCAACAAGGAAACCCTCACTTTCGGAAGGGTCACCTCTTCGAACCTTCTCGGACCTTGCCCCCCCGTGAAGGTCGAACAGCTCCAAAACGCACGCACGCTTCGCACACGCTTGTTTCACACACGCTGGTTTCGCACGGTGCCCTTGTCTATTTACCAGAGCCAATATAGAGCGTTCGGAGCACCAGGGGGTGAAGCGACGGACCGGGCCGCATGAAGCACCGACGGTTCCGGCCAGTGCTGCGTCCGGTGCTTCGAGCGCGTGCAGGGTCTCTTCGTGCTTTTGATCGAAAGAAAACAGAAACAAGGCACACCGAGGGGTCGCGAGATGTGTGAAACTGAAAGAAGAAAAGCATGTGGTTTTGCTTTGCAGCGCTCAAACATGTTTGAAGCATTTGCCGACGCAAAATGGCGGCTGACCCGAGGGGCGGGCGAGACGCACCTCCCCGCGCAGTGACCCGTTCGCGAACGGTCGAGCGAAGATGCCAGGCGATGGGTGCCGAACAGCAGGGCCGAGGAACTCAGGGAGCTATACTGATCTGAGTACTCTAAGGCGATCTCCACCGACACGGTGCCGTTGATCATCTCCGCCTCAGGATCCTGGCCATTTTGGTCCACAAAAAGGGGCGGGATGCACATCCGAACCGGGGCTGCCCCGGTTCGATCAGCAAGGACTGCGACCGGAAACGGCACGTGGATCAAAGCGATCCATTCACGGCCAAGGTGAAGCGGTCCATTGGGGGGTGGTATCAATCTCCCGTTGCAAGGAGGAAGAAACGGCTGGGGGAGGTTCCTCTCACCATCTGAGGGGCGCCCCGAACTTGTCGGCTGGGGGATGGTGCCCCGGCTCCTTCGAGCCGAAGTGCTTTTCAACACTCCTGGTCTGACCTGGCTGGCTGATTGTCCTCTGAATTGTCCTCGAACCGAAGTGAGAGTATTTCAACTCGCATGAATCAGCAAAGTGGGACTCCGTCCAGCCAAAATCCATTCTGCATGCAGCGCATTGTATATCACAAAGGCGTCCTCTCATAGTAACAAATCATGAGCAATATCAACTGAGATCAACTGAGAATATTCTCAAAGCTGAATTTTTCAGGTGGAGAGCTCTCTCTCTCTCTCTCTCTCTCAAACAAACAAACAAACAAACAAACAAACAAAAGGCCCAATGCTTCCTGAGTCCAATCCCTCATACATTGCACAATCACTGACACCTACACACCTACAATAAACGATATACTCATAAAATCTGTCCAAAGCGGCACTGACAACGACAGCTGCCGGCCACTGCCTGGTCGGTGAAGCTCATGTTGAACGGCAAGTCAGGGAGTCCACCACAATCGTCCCTCAGACGCTCTTCAAGTCCGCTGTCTCGGTGCACTTCGCCCATCGAACCCGAAGCTTCATCGGTGGTTCTTCGGTCCCAACAACCGCCACTCCGCCACTCCTCAACGCCGCAAACACCGTCCCACCCCCCCGGTCACGGACCCCGGACCCCCCCGGACCCCGCCAACAGGAGAGCGGGGAGAAGATCCGCCGAAGGCACAGGATCGGCTTCCGCAGCGTGAGCTCACCGTTGTCCGTGAGCCCGGCCACATTCAGTACCGTGCCTCGACGCGCTGAGCAGTGGTTTCAACGCACGGAAGAAAAAGGAATGCTGTGGTGATACTGATGTGACACTACTCCGGAACAGGACCTGAATGAAATGCTTGAGACTCATGCGCAATGCTTTGAATGGGAAAATGCATGGGAATTGAGTGATGCATCTGCTTCGCCTCTTGGATATTCCAGCGGACATTTACAGAGATCCAGCGCTCAGTTGTGCCGGAGAGAGAGAGTTGAAAGGCCGAACTGCACCACCCCACCGTCCGGCAGCTGAGATCAACCAAGGCACTCTGATTCTGTTGGAAGTCTGCCGGAAGCGTCACCTGTTTGGTCGGGCCGATCTGAGAAGACGAAGGGATTTTCATGGGCCAAGGCCCTCCAACACTCACTTCCAGGACCTTCTAACAGGTGGTTTTTGGACACCCCGAATCATCTCTAAGAGCCTATTTATAGACACCTCTTGGAGGGTCCTGGTTTGGATGTTTTTGGATGTTTTTGGTTGGAAGACCCCCTCTTAGAGGATTTCCATGGCTTGGAACTTGGGACCCCCAAAACTCATGTCATCCAGCTTGGAAAAGGGAGAGGTTCTTGCTGTAACATCAGACGCTCGACTCTATTCTTGGCCGGGGGGGGCAGAAAGTGCCAAGAACCTGGCAAAGTCACCGTTAGCGGTTCGTGGCTTAAGGAGAAGCGCAGTCACTTTGTCACTTAGTCCATACAAGCCCTCTTGTATCTGATAGAAGACGTGGCTCTTTGGGCCAGATCCATCTGAATAGGACCTCAACTGTTCAGATCTGCTTGCTGTGGTGGAACGCGCACATCTCTGGCAGTCAGTCCAAAATGGAACCATCGCCACTGCATCCAACTGCCTTCCACAGCCCAAAGGAGGTTTAAGATCCATCGCCACTGCCGGCGCCATTCCCGTCTGTCTCGACGCGAGCGATCCGATGCGTGTTCCTCCTTCTCGACGTGTTCGACAACAGGTCCATCGTGCTCCATCCGAACATCAACGACTCCACCCGCGCGACTCCAAGCGGGGTGCCCTGGACAGGGTGCGACCTGTTGACGTAGCGTGGAGATATCCAGCCAGGTGACCCCGAACGGAAGCAGCTGGTAGAATTGGAGGCTTCCGAAGTCGGACCCAATCCAATCCCCCGCAGCTCTCTGCTGCTCTTTTTTTGAACGGGGCCCACGTCGACGGGAATCATCCCTTAGGCACCCGCAGCACTCAGCACATCTCAGCACGCCCTTCCCAAACAAATCTTCCCTCCATCCGATCCATCCGCCGCGCTTTCCGCGCCGTAATCTTCCGGGCTTCCCCGCCATGGCATTGAAGCTGACTGGAAGGTCCCAAGACACAGCACTGGGATTGTTGCCCTGCAAATCCTCGCTGAGGTAAACCCGCCAGGACTGCCTGGGACTCAAAAACATGCCAAGACCCCCAAAAGACGGCGGAAAAAAAGAAGCCACGAGTCTTTGGTCAGCCAACATCGATGCTTTCCTTCATAAGATATCAGCCAACGTGCTGCGGACATCTGGAACATCTACGGCACCCGTTTACGGGTCCACCAGCGAAACAGGAGCGGCTCCGCGCGGCGCGGGAACCGAACCGACCGAGGACCGTCCAAAAACCGTCTCCCGCGCGAGAGGGCCGGGGCGTTCGTCGGACGGTGGAGGTGTTGTGGAGGTGTTCGTTTGGATTGCTGCGCGTGTCGTGTCCAAAGGGATCAAAGGGATCAGAACTTGTCGAAAAAAGCGATGCGAGTACCCTCCGTGTGTCTATCAGTGATGGACAAAGTCCTACCTGAAACCATGAAATCAGAAATCCATGGGAAATCCATGGCATGACATGGTCGTATGTCCAGGTCTGTGCTTTCCAAACAATCATGGCAACCCCAACATCTTTCCCGAAACATCCAAGGTCGACGCGACAAGCCTCACGCCGTTCGCCGTTCGCCTCCCCGCCATCCGCTCGGCACTAGAGAAAGAACCAACAAGCAAAACTGCGCTGGGAAAAGGAAGAACCCAACGAAATCAACACGGTCGTCCCCAGAAATCCAAACCCAAAAATCAAGACATTCTTCTTCCGAGTGCGTTTCGTCGCCACACCATGCCAGGGCACACCATGGCCATATCCGTGCCACTGGGCACCGAAATGAGGATGCTCCCACCCAGGAAGCCACAACGAAGATCCTGGTCCGTGAAGATCACATCCTGCCGGGGCGGGGTCAAGGCGGGTGGTCAGAGAAGGCGGATGGATGAAGGAGTGGACCCACCACTCGAGTGGACCACCCAGGTTTCCCAGGCGGTCCGAAACACCGGGCCGACACTGTCTGCATTAAAATACTAGGAGATTTCGTCAGACCATGTTTCTACCCATCCGTTTTCGGAATCCACGAAGTAAGTCCCTCTTCAAACCCAAAACATCTTCCCTTCACCAAGCCGGACAGTTACCGAAGCCTATGCTCTGGACATGAAGAGACCTACCATGTACAGATCATCAACCACGTTCAACAAATGAAGAATGTTGAAAGGGCTTGGACACCACTTGATGTTCGGAAGAAGCATCATGCTTCTCTTCCTCAGCCCCTTGATTCTCACAAAGTGAGCCCAAAAACCCAAACGGCCTCCAGCCTCTCCACTGAAGCCTCTCCGTCCAGCGTGATCACCATCTCACCCCCCACAACCACCGACCCTCTGGAAGGTGGGTCGACCTCTCTTTTGAGGTCCTCAAACCCCACACCCACAACAGGCCGAAGGCCCTGCGTGGTTGTGATCGGCCTAGCCGGAAGAACACCGGGGTGGTCGAACCGAGTGACCTACCCAAACGCTCCGTTCACAGGCCGACTGGTTCAAAAAACCATAGGGATTTGAGGGTCCCCCTCAAAGGATTCGGGTACGACCCCTCCCTACTGTAGAGGTCCGGACCCTCGCGTCTGGCGAAGCATCCGAAGAAGCGCACCAAGGATCGAGGCCCCGAAGACGAATCCTCGGATCGCCCTGATCGGTCTTCGTGGGGCCTTCCCAAGAAACCGCCAAACACGCAGCGAAACACCTCCTGCACTTCCCGGGTCCTCTTTGGTGATCGGCAATGAAGTGCCTGGTACGAGGGGAGTCCGCCCTTTCGGGCCCTGTGGGCCCGCTGGAAGCGGGCCCAGGGCCCAGGGCGTTGTAGGTCTTTTCCTTGTACCATTGTGGGCCCAGGACAGTTGGATGTCCGATTTTGTGTGCATCTTCTGTGGAATATGGCCGCTCTGTACTGACCATGTGATGCACTGTGCACTTCTTCTGGAAGAGATCTTCGGCTTCAAGCGTTTTCGGTCCGAGGGGGTCTTGAGGTCCAACAGCCCGTAGGGGTCTTGAGGTCCAACCATTGGATACCATTGGTCTCTCTGTTCTTGGGGTGCCGTATTTCGGCTTCAGCAGATGGCAACAGTCTTGAAATGTTCCACTTTCATGCTTACCATCCAGGGAAAAGCGTGACTCGAGGAATATAATGGTCGCGGCCTCTAACATATACATCAAAACAAAACTTTGGCAAAAAAACTGCTGTCCAGCCCCCTTACTGTAGCTTTACTGTGACATTTCTGTATTCCAGCGTCCTTAAGCTTCATCCGCAAAAATAGACTGTCGTTCCATAGACTGACTTCGCTTGAAACTCAGATGGATTTAGAGGCATACCCGTGACATACACCATGTTGCTCTCACGTTTGAAAACACCACCTGGAACCACCTGGCAACAAAAAAGGGAAAAACGTCCTGTCGAAAATCCTTAACATCCCACCGAGCGTGAACATCCAAGCCAGTGAGGCCTGTCCAACCAAGATCATGAATCACCATCTTGGAGACTTCTTCCAGCTCCTCCGTTGTCTGCCAGTTCCCGCTAATGCGCGTGTGCACCTGCCGGCATGGGCATGGGCGACACGTCTTTGAAGTGTTTCACATCATGGTTTTTAGACGCAAAACTGACCAACCTCATCCAAATTCATCGATGAATGTTTTTGGATGTGAACCGGTTTTCGATCCTGATCGGTCAGCTTTTGACTCCCCCGCTCCGGCCCACGTTCCCGGTCTCACGTGGTTAAATTGGACCTTTTCAGTCGACCCCCGTACGACCGACGACCCGTCTTTCGCACAACCTGAAGCAGCCCAGACGGACGGTGGCAAAGTAGTCACTAACCGCAGTGGTTTTCATGTTCCAAAAAATCTCTTCCCGTAAGTCCCGAGGGTCTCTTGCAGCTCTCTGCCCTTCTCGCAGCTTGCAGATCGCGTCCGCCCTTCTTGCTTTCTTTCTTGGTCAAACTTCATGGAATCCGGCTTTCTTGGCCGCCCGGTGGATGTCACCACGTTCCCCTCAAAAAAAACAAATCCCTCCCCACCCGGGTGCGCTTCGCCACTTCCGCGCCTGGATGGACAGCAGCGGCTCATCGCCGTTGTACGGGAAGAAGGCCGGCCACGGAGGCACACGGTTGGTGGGGCGGGCGACGAACCTGGAGGCATCGGGTGATTCCTCCGGGTCCAAGCCGGGAAGCCGGCGACCGCCCAAACCCAGCGGGTGAAGCCGGGCCGAAAAGGGAGAGTGAAAGCAAGACAACAAGGGCATACAAGGGCATTCAGTTTTCACTTCAAAGCGAAGAAATGGCGGAGCTTGAAACATGGAGTGTGTGTTCTACACTCATCCAAATATTAATGGATGTGCAACTTATCCGTTTAGTTCCTTCGATCCACTTCGACCAACTTGATGAAAGTTTGGAGAGAGAAACTCGATGGAATGGGGTTCAACTTGGTTCAACGTTCACCAACATCCATGGGGTTGAACCATGGAAACGTACCGTTAGATTCTTAACCAACATGGATGAATTGCTTGGTCAAGATTGGGGCGTAGAGTTTCATGGCACGCCAGCGTTTTACTAGCTTTCCAGAGTTAGAAGCCGCCATAGGGTACACCGACATTTCGGATTTTGCCAGTCGCGTCCTCCGTCCACGCGTTTGATTGCGGGTCTTGCTTCAAAATTTGTGGAATCCCCCAAACGGATCACCCCGTTTGGGCGATCGATGTGTCAGTCGATGTCATCGTTTCAGTCGTTGGCTCGGGCCAAACACGCGCCCGCCCAACGAAAAGCGCCCCGCGCGTGGTTTGAGGTCCACTGGCTCCGAAAGCAAGACCCAAAAACCATCCAGGAGGCAGCCAGTCTACATTCACCAAGGAGGACTGTCTCTAAGAAGACTGGTGCCCCTTGTGGAAGAAACAGGAACTTTGGGAATTAACTTTTTGCATGTAAAAAAATCCTTTGCTACTAGTAGCTTCTTGTTACTAGTAGTAAGGCCCCTTTGTTACGATGCCCTTTGTTACTAGTAGGTGCCCCGAGTAAGACTTCGTCTGGTTCTTCTGGGGTCCGGGATCATGCGAGTTCGGAAGGGACACGACCTTCGGGACGGTGAAAAAAAAAGGGCCAAAACGGAGGATGGCCCCAGACCCCAAGGGGTCTGCTCTCACTCCCTTTATTCCACAGCACGAAATCGCTTCTTCGGGTGAGAGCGACTTAGTCCGTTTCTTCTGCAGGGTTTCTTGACGGCGAAGGAAGAGGAAACTGATCTAGGTCCACTTCTTCGGGGTTGGGTGAAGGGCTTGGTGAGCTCAGGTGTCCGCTCGCTTGTGCCAAGTGGCTCCGTCTCGGGCGCATAGGCGTAGATGTTGTTGTTGACGTTAAACAAAGACTCAGCAATCGGAGGCAGGCGGGATCTAGAACTGTCAGCTGGATTCGGTGGTTGAGCCGCTGTCCTGGTGAACCTTCTCAGCTGGACCCACGAGGGGCAGAAACATAGGTAAACCTGGACTCAAAAAGAAGACTCGGCCTCTTGGAAGAGAAGGGGCTCACACCTTTTTTGCCCGTTACCCCATGGTCGCCTTGCTCCAAAAGCTCAGCCGTGTCAGGTGCGGAAGGTTGGAAAGGAAAGAGTCAGATCCAACTGCAGTGATCTAGAATACAGTTTGACTGTCGTGTCGATGGTGGGGTGATTAACTGTGATCTAGTTTTCTAGCTTGGAACGATGGCTTCCAACTGTAGGGCTTCTCCAAAACCACCAGCTTAACGAGTCGGTCACCAGCTTGTTCACCTACCAATGCAGGGCGATCGCACCCATCGCCCGGTTCGCAGTCCCACACCCGGTCACGTCCGGGGCAGATCGGTCATTGGGTGGGAAACGGCATCATGAAGGGATAGGAAAGCGTGTTCTGTTTGAGCGGAGGTGACCCCCACACCACTGGCACACAAACCTCTGGAAACTTACATAGCTTATGAGTGAAAGACGAGTTGTTTTTCTCGTACCTTCTGGAAGACCCTTGGCCTTCGATTTGGAGCTACCCAAGGCGCACTTGTAGCGAAAAATATAATAAAAAATACTTGCATCGAATGCTCCCGGCATGGCAATCAGGACCTTTCGGGTATGCATGCAAACCAAGGCAAGCCAGAAAAAAAAGAACGTTGGGGCAACTGCTGCTCACTTTCTCTTAATATCTGAACTTGTCGCTCAACTCAGAACCAACCGCTCCCTTTTTCGTTGCGAAAAGGATTCGGTCTCGGGTCTCCGGTGCCTTCGGGCGGTCGAGCCCAAGGAGCCATCCCGGTGGCGCGCTTCTGGAACTCTGCCGTGTCATCCACGCCCAGCCAGGGCATAAAGAGTTCCACCTCGGTTGGGTGGATGACTCCAGCGACACCCGATGGTCGGGTGCCGGGGAAGCCCGACACTCGGTGGCCCGTTGCGTGGCCCGGAGTAGCCCGGAGAAGGAGGGGTCAAGTTGATAGGACTTTCTTGGAGGCAGTAAAGCCACTCCTTTGGCTGGTTTCACCCAAGGCGTCGCATCAAGGTAGCATCAAAAAAACCTCAGAAGTAATGGTTTTGAGGAAACAAACAAAACCGCTGTTTGACCCACGCAAACAGGCATTCCACACTAGACGGAGAAGTAGTTGTCTCCTCTTCGACCACCATCCCCTTTCGCAACGGCCAAGTGCCTCACCGGTTCTTATGCGCACAACATGCATCACAAGAAAGGGTTCACCAACCTTTGTTCCGGCATTGTTGCAATCTGATAAAGTGATCCAATATGATCCAATGAACCTCAAAACCCCTAGTCGCAGTCACAAGTCAAAGTGCGCCGAAACCAGAGCCAGCAACCATCAAACCTGTCTACAGAAGGGACCTCAAATTCAATGCTAAAGAGCTGCTCATCCACCCTCCAGCAGAGCCCTCCTACAATCTCTGATCAACATGTCTCAGCTCCGCGCATTCTCCATGTTCTCGGGCAAGGTCCAACTGATGGTCCCTCCGATCATGCCATAACTATCTTCGCTGTCGTCCTCGGCGTGGCAAGCCGAGCGCGACAGCACTCGGGAAATCCGTTCAGAAATCCCCCAATCCACAGAAGTTCCGGGCGGATCACCGGCGATCCGTAAGACCAACCGCTGTGCCCTCGTCTCCCCTCACGCGGCCATGTGACGACACGAACACGGCCACGCGGCCGTGTGACGCCCGGGGCGGTTCGGGCGAGTGGTTTTTTCAATGCCAAGTTGCAAAGCGCACATTCGTCACACCCTGATACACCGCCTGGCAAACTGGCGGCACCATCGGCACGAACTAGATGGCCAGCTTGTGGTTTCCAGGTGAAAGTCACCAAGAACCCAAGCTTTAATACCAATATGGCCATCACTTGACAGCATCCCCTTATAGTAGTAATTGCTCACATTCTTATGTGAGGGGAACGAGCGAGAGGGGGAGGGTCAACTTGCAGTGCGGTTGCTTCTTGTCCTTGGGAGTTCCCAGCGTTGCCTTCAACCCGACGATTGTTGATTCAGTTGCATTTCCTATGTGCTGCTGTAGGTGGCCCCCAGTAGATAGAAATGCTGTCCCAAACATCTCGAAGAAGGGTTTCACAACATGCTGTCCCACCGAATCCCTGCTTTGATCCGTTTTGGGAGACCGTCACTTGCCATTCTTGAGGAGACCTCGGCTCCCCCGGAGCCGCGCGCCCGCCGCCACGCCCGCCTCGGTCGCGAAGCACAGGAAGCACCAGGTGTGTCGCCAATTCCTCGTGGGCCTCCAGCACCAGTGAGAGGGGACGAGGGGACCTGAGTGAGAGGGGGGGGAGGCCAGGAGGCCAATGACCGGTGGAGTTGTTCGCCTCGGTCGTGGCGCAGTCAGTCTGCCCGGGTTGATCCATCTTTAATGAGAAGGACTAAGGACAATATATCTTTTCCAAGCAGCAAGCAGTGGTCTTTCTGTGATGTTTGTGGTTTTTGTCAGATCTTCAAGACAACTGGAGGTTCCAGGTTGCGCAGGTTGCATCTGGTCACCTTTGTGGGCAAGCTGCGATCGGATCGACCTGAAAGAATCGCGACCTCAAGTCCCAAGCCGGAAAGTGTTGCAATCAACTGATCGGTGTTTTCACTCTGACACTCTCTTTCATATGGCTCTCTACGTCACCTTCATTTTTATTTGTGCCTGCCTACCAACATCAATAAATTTTTATAGATTAAAGATATATGCACTCAATCATATAAAAACCATTTAATATTTAATGAGATTGAGCAGCATCTAATGCTTCATTTTATTATTGGTATGTTTAACCCAAATCTGGAATTAAATCAATAACAATCAATATGAGTGGATTTTCTTAATGAAATTGCTATTGGAAAATCCACCCATGAAAAAAACTTCTTTAAATTTAAAATGTCTTTGCTTTTTTCATGGTATCCTTCTCATATTCTCTGGTAGAACATCCGGTGAAAACACCGGTCAGCTAGTCTTCTTCTCCGTTTTCCCTATAGGGATCCACATATCCACCCTCTGAGGTACGGTGAGGACGGAGACATTGCCATGTCGGTGCAACGTCGGGTTTTCCGTCGTACCGAACCTGAGCACTCACTGCGTGTTGACATCAAACCAGCAACCCCCTCCGACCGGGCTTCAAGCAGACCGGTCGCGCACCCACCGGTCGGGACCGGTGTTGCGGGGTCGCCGGGCGACCCGTCGTTTCGGTGAAGAAGCGGACTTTCGACGGACGAAGCGAAGCGAAGCCGCTGCAAAGCCAACGGGTAGGGGTTGGACCTCCCAGGTGGTGGGAAGACCATGATTGTTCGGTTGGCAGATTGGAGGTGAATGGCAGGTTGGATGTGCAACTTCGAAACGAATTGCACAGGAACAAGGGAAAACCGTCTTCGCCTAGTGTCTTCCCTAGTCCCACGATTCCCAGCCCCTGTGCCTCATTGCACACGTCTTTGCGATCCCTTTGGGATGGCAAGAACTACATAGAACTACATCATGGGTGTTTCACAGCGAAGTTGATGCTGGAAGAAGGTCGTCATAGATCAAGCCACAGATTGATTGCTGTGCTAACCTGCCCAAGGTCTTAACTCACTTTGAATGACGGAACCCGGACCGTCACATCCATAGGTCCATGTGCCCTTACGAAAGCCACAGCACCTAATACTCGCCTGGCCCACATGTTTTTGCTTTGGCCTGAGACCTCTCCCAAATGGGTGGCTCCCATTTGGCTGCATGAGCTCAAATGGCCAGCGGATTTGCATTTTCAACTGCTCGCCGTGAACTCGTCTTCGACAGCTTGGTGTGGGCTTGTGGGGCGCGTCACGCACAAAAGGTTCCGCTGTCGTGTAGTCGAAACCAGAGCCACACCACCATGTCGGAACGACCTCGCCAAATCACAGAAAATGCCAACCACCAAGCTGAACACGTGTTTTTTTCTCACCTCTTTGCCAGCTAGGCAGCCTGGCTAACAACATGACAACTCGGTTGCTCAACAATTCGCAATCCGCTTCCCGGCTCGTTGATGACCACCTCAACACTCAAATAGTTCAACACATGGGCAAACCGAACAAAGAGGCTAGGTCACAGGTGGACTACACCAACCTATCATATAGCCGACACAAGCAGCATTTGTATTTCCAATGACAGTGAAAAAGAATCACATCAAGCACACGGTGGTGAGCAGTTTTGATGACTTATATAAGCTGGTTCGCACTCACACAGACCCCAAAAGGCCTTTTTTGTCCTTGGCCAACCTCTGACATCTCACCTAGGGTTCTCTCCTGATACGGCCCTTGTCGATTGCACTCAAAGCAGAACACAAAAGTAGCTTCCTTCTATTTCAACAAGTTGCAAATGCTCTTGCTCCAACCTCCCAGACAAATGACAACATGTTTCTTCCAAGTTACGACACAGAGAAAACTGAGATCCAAGGACTGATGTATTGAGGACAAGCACAGTTTTGTGCCAGCCGCTGGCCGCTAGCCATTGGCCAATCTAAGTGCCGCTTTATCGAGCGCAAGAGACTGCCCTCACGCCCTCACTGCACGAGGGAAACGTTTCTCTCTTTGCTGTCCAGCAAGCGTTTGGATTTGAGGCAACCAAAGAAAAGAAGGTTCTGATCAAGAAAAATTTTCAAGCATAGACCCCAAACAGCTTCAAAACGATTCGTTTAGTTTAGACCAATATCACGGAACCCACACACAGAGCCGGGCCACAGAGCTCAGCCACAGAGTTCACGGGGAGGACAAGGCCAAGCCACAGAGCCCAGCACAGATTGACAAGAGGAGGACAAGAGCCCAGGGGCCATCCACAGCACACGAGCACGCGCGCGCTTGCTCTACTCTCTCTCTCTCTCTCTCAATGTGTCTTTCTCTGTCTTTCTCTTTGCGCGCTCTGACCGTGCCTTTCTGGAGCGTGAGCTCGCCCGTCCATGGCACAGAAGCGCGCGCTCGCCTGCTGTCTTACTTTCTTTATTCCTGCAAGTGTCAAAGTATGCAAGGGAGCATGCAAGCGCAAATGATGCAAGTGCAATGATGAGTGTGCAATGCAATAAGCAACCGCCCAGACGGCGTCCGTACTCGTGGGAAAAAAGGAAAAACAGCGGAATCTCCGCACAGGGTTGCGCGCGCACTGGACAAATCGCACTCTCGCCTGCATTTCGCGCACTCGACACGCACGATCTCCGCAGAGGGTGCATTTCGCGCACTCAAACACGCACGATCTCAGCAGAGTGTTTGACGCTGTTCGTCCCATGTTCCGCCTTTAGAGAGAATTTGTAAAGTGGAAATGTTTTTTCAGGACTGCTTTGAAAAGCTTGTTTTCATCCAAGACCAGGGGTGCACCCCATGTCCGGGACATGTGCAGCCAGGGTGGCCATCGCATAGCAGGACAAATGGCGAAAGCATTCCTCTTCAGCATAGACTCCTCGCCACTTATGCCTTCCTGTGGCAAGCCTGCCAAAGACAGTGCAATCTTGGAAGACCCTACTTCCTATGCACCTCAAAGCTCAACTTGGGCTGCACAGTTCATGAAGGCTTTGACTCGGATTGCATGGAGAGTTGTGCTGACTCTCGGGGTGATGGAAGCTCACTTAAGGCAACCTCAGCAAGGTTGATACACCCTTGAAAGAGGTATTGTCCTAACTTGGCTTCGCTATTGAACACATTTGCAATCCCTTCCAATGCATACACCCATTGCAAGGAACAACTCCGCAAAGGCTTTATATTTTTTCCACGAGTACGGACGCCGTGTGGGCATGGTGCCCAGGTCATCGTTGAAGGAAGGGAAGAACAGACAGATGGTGGAGAAAGGAACAAAGACCCCAAAACCAACCCAAAACCAAACACCCAAGCCCGCAGGCCGAAACTCCACCGTCTTGTAGTCTTTCCTCTACACTGGGTGAAACTTGTGAAACGGAAACTAGTGGCAATTAATGGGCCTGAATTCTCAAAAGAAAAGGACGGCAGCGCAAGCTGTGTTCATGGAAAGCCGCCTAGGAGGCTTCAAACGGACTTTCCTTCCCGAATATTGGTGACCAGCGGCCACACCACAGTGTGGCAAAACAAGGTCACTTTGCAGGTCAGGTGTCTCGCGATGCTCCAGCGCTGGTTGTAATCAGGTCGACCAAGAGTGACAAGATCTGAGCAGCAATCCGTGGAAAAGACCATTCTTGCAGCACAACCCATTCAACTGGTGGCGCATACAAGGCCAGTCGCATGCTGCCCGACAAAAGCCAAATCGTGGCGGCAATTCCTAGCGAGAGCAGCCTGCAGCTAAGGGTGAACAGGGCACAACCTCCCCGAGGGGAGGCAAACCCAGCACCCTTCGGCACGCACCGGTGCCACAAGGGGATGTTTCTTGAGTCAGTGAGGCGCTGCGTAATTGCAAAAAGCGGTCTGCTGCGTGCAAGGCCCGTGTGAAACATGTGAAACTTTGAGCTCTCCTAGCATGATATCTGTACCTCTTTGTACAAAATTGGAAATGTCGGACATCAACAGCAGGAACTAGGGTTCCCCCTGGGCATCCTTCATTGCCACTATCTACCACCCGCCGGTTAGGAACGCAGAACTAAGGCTCTCGCTCCTATCGGCTCACTACGCAGCGAATGGCGAAAAGAGGTCATGGTTCTACTTGGTGTTTGCGCATTTTTCTTGCCGTATATGCCTGGAAGTCACCCTTTCCTAGTGCTCGAATACTGACACTTGGCTCAGCTCACTACCCACGTCGCCCTTGCTCCTCTCCTGCCTCGGAAGCATTGCTGGTCTTTGGTGCTGGGTCTAGAAAGTCTTCTCGCCAAAGATCGTTTGCATCAATCGGCAAGACTCGAAGCCACGTGGGCTTGTCGAAGTGCTCGCATTTG